ATATGTAACTGGCTACGGTCGTGGCAAAGATACTTTCTCCGTGCATTGCTCTCAGCAAAGTGAGTGATCGTTAACAGCAATGGGGCTGGATAAAGCTTACAAATGAACAGCTCCAGAGTTGAGCTGCAAAGGCAGCAGCTTTTTGTAATTCAAATTAAGCTAATAGCACAGTAACAAATTGCTGTTAATATTAGATTAACTTCTTTGGAAATATATGAATTCACGAGAGTTTAAGATTGCCTGGAGCTGGCCAGCCAATAAAAGGGATTTCATTGAGGGGAAGTGTGGCAGCAGCAGGTATTTGAAATGCAGAGGTACCGGTAAGCAGAAGAGGTAGGATGGAAATGGAGTCAGCACTGGCGGGATAATTACTACAGTGCTATGGATTCAGGGGAAGGATACGGCTTTGATTTTCCCAACACTATCAGCCTGAATCAAAATAAGAACAAATACCTTCATCTGCCACTATTGCTAGCAATCATTTTACTATCTTTATTCCAGGGATGAGCAAACTTTTTTTTTTGAAATGGTGATCTCCTTTTGTTTTTACTGAAGTGGGTGGCAGGAAGACTGGTCTAGCTCCTTCCCTCATAGCTGACCAATATTACAATCCCCGCAGATTCTGTATTTACAAAGCGAGAATGCAGATTCAGGATTTCTTAACAGCAAAGGTATAATTAATCCAGAATGGATTTTCAGGATGCCCAGGGAGCCGAAGAAGTGGATGGGGAATTGGTGAAGATCCCAGTAAGTGGATAAGCTGTAGCACAGGTGTAGAGAAGGGTGCGTTTTGCATACAGAAGTTTCCACGTTCAATTAAATCCATAGTATCCAAACGGAAAAGAGCCCTATCTGAAATCCTGGAGAACCACTGTGAATGAATGCCAGCTGGTTGTCTACTACAAATCCCAACATGTCTGACCACTGGCCATGCTGGCTGGGGTTGATAGGAGTTGGAGACTACAACATCTAGAGGACTCCAGTTGGGGAAAGTTGATGTAGGTAATACCAATCTAGATGAACTAACAGTATAATGTTGCTTTGCAGGCGGTCACCTTTCTATGAGCCCAACTCCACTCATGGGATTTTAGGATCCAACCCATTTCCTGTTGACCAGAGCAATCTCAGTTTTCCGATACCTAACCCTGATAAATCTCCTTCCTGTTCTGCTTTGTGAGTTTTTAAAAACATCTTTCAATGTGTTGTGACTCAGTTGCAAGAGCTGATCTTTTCCATTCCCCCCTCCTGCATTTTAGTAGAGAAGTGTACAAGTTCTACCTCTCTCTCGCTTCATCCCTCCCCCCTTCCCCCCACCCCCCACCCCCGTGTTTTTCTTCTAACAGTAGCTGACCCTATGAATCAGCCCTCAGAAGTTTAGCAGCAGACTTTTTTCCTTCTTTCTTTTTTTCTGCGTCTAGCAGCATCTATAAATTGACTCAAAAGTAAGATTCATTAAGGTTCAAGCACTAGGGGCAGGGATTAACTTGTTCTGAATGCAGGTTCTGATTTGAAATCTTAAATGCCACAGTGAATGCTGGTGGTCGCTAAACTGATTAAGAGGTGGTTATCTTTAGCAGTAAAAAGGCTATCTGGTAATAGTGAATGCCATTTATCCTGCTCTGATTCTGGGAATGAATATTTATGCTGAGTGATGAGTACAGCATCATCAAAAGGGTTTTTTTTGCTTTCTGTTCTTCAGAGCGGTGGAGATTATTCTATGTCTACGGCAGGCCCAGGCTTCAACACTTGTTTCTATTAAGCAAATTTGCAGTGTTCACACAAAATTCATGATTGCATTTTTATTCTGGATTTTGCTTTTTGCTGTTTTATTTTTTCAAAAAAGAGTAATTCTTTTGCACCTAAGAATGTGGGTCACAGCAGGAGGGCTGTAGTCAGCACACACATGTATATTTATGAACATGCCGCTGTACAATTCTTGTGCCCCGTTGCATGTGAAATTCTGGATGCCTTGTTACGGCCTTTGAGAAAGGGGGCTATTAATTAATTTATTGATCCTCCCTTTCTTTTTAAAAGGACTTTTCTTTCCGTTTGCAAGTTATAAATATCAGGCACATGCATGGCTCAGCAACCCTGCCACAGGGTCACACTACCAATGGATAGTTCTGCATGTAATGGGAGAAGAACAACGGAATGCAAACAGTATTTGCACGGGAGTCCAGGTGGTACAAAAATGGTACAAGCAAACGAGATGCCTGGGTCACCAAGGCTTTGTGCTCTGGCTCTGAAGCATAACTTCCTTGCTCTTCCTGGCACTCCAGATCTTCCTTGTTTCCAGATGAAGTTCGTCATGGGACTGGGGCTGGGGGCAGAGGGGATGGACGAGGCACTATAATATGGATTGCCAAGGGAAAGTGCACCTATTACCCTGTGGCTTACACTTCACACATCTAAGTCTGGTGGGCCCCTGGCATGGACTTGGCCTTGGATCTCCCCGTCATTGAGGAGAAAACTCACGGTGGTTTGCAAGTGGTTATCCCTGTTCTGACCACAGCTAGTTAGTTTTCTCAAGGAGGAAGAGCAGGTGCACTTCCTTTCCTTACACAGGTATCACGTTTGATGTAGATACCTGGTTCACATGGCAGCCGATTCACCTGTTTTTTCTCCGAGTCACAAGTGGAGAGGGCAGGAAGAGAAGAGATGATAGGCACAAACCTTTTCTCTGTGGGAAGATCTCCCAGGGGCCGTGGAATGTTTCGAGGTGCCCTTTCCGAGGGCAAAGTAGGAGGTCTACATGCTCAGAGAAAAAGCTCCAGCAGGTGTTTCTCTGAGATCGTAGAGAACAAAAATAAGCCTGGGAGAGGAAGAGGACCTAAATCTCCTCCTTCCAACACCCCGCCAGACGAATCTACACCAGCCACAAAGGTCAAGTACTTTATTTCGCTCCCATTGGGAGCAAACAGGGGAACACACACACACAGCCAGAAAAGGTAAAATTAAAGCGGAGAAAGCCACACATTCTTCAACATGATGCTCTCTAGGTGTTTTGGATTTCAACCTATCTCAAGAACGCTTGCAAACACCATGGTGGGAAATGGGCCGACAGGGCACGGGACATTCCTCTTGTCTTCTGTCCTTTGCCTCTCTGTTCCCCAGCAGGATTGCTGCACACATGAATTTGAAATTTATAGACTCACGTGTGCACAGAATACCACCTCATTAAAACATCTGCATGGAGAGTCAGGGAATAAGCTTTTTCCACAATCAAACAGAGGCTTTTTCACTGCCCTGCAACATGTTTGAAATGAGCCATGCATTATCATGGCAGAATGCAAACTAAAGGAAACCATGATGATTATGGGATTAATTACTTACAGCACTTTGATTACTTTCCTGGTCCCATTTTGTCTGCAGGAATAAAACCTTCCGAATACAAGCAGCTAATCATAAATCTAGGAAATACATGATAAGTATAACTACTTATACCCAAAGAGCTTCAGCTATTGGGCAGTATATAAATATAATAAATAAATAAAACACCAGTTTGCATAACCATCAGCCTAAAATAAAAACTCTGTTTCTTTGCTCTTTGACAATCCTAGTACCCAGGCTGCTTGAATGATGGTGGATGTATGTCACTGAAAAGAATAAACGCTGGGGTTAGCAAAGGCTGCATTCCCATTCATCTGGGGAGACGTGCCTAACATTACTTCCACGGAAATATTCATGCATAGGGTCAAGCTCTTTCGATGCTGTAGCAGATGTTTGCCAGTCCTCCAGATGTTTTGGACTTCAACTTCCATTGGGCCTAGCCAGCACAGTCAGTGATGAGGGGGGTTATTGGCCAAAACATCTGGCGGGCCACAAATTGCCCACCCCTGAAATAGGAGAATGAAGGACCAAACCAGGCCATCAGTGGCAAGTGCTAATGCGCAGAGAGTGCCTGCGCTTCGTGTCCTTGCCACCGATACTGAATTTGCCGCAGTGGCAGCAGCAGCGCCTCACCATGATCGCTCAAGAAAACAAGGCATGTAGGGAGCACGTGGCTTGTTCAGAAGCAGAATCGTGTGCTTGGAAGCACCCCAGGACTGTGTGTTGTTCTCCTTGTGTCTTGTCCAGTTTTTTCTAGCCTAATGCAAAACTAAACAAAAATCGTACGTTAGAAGACAAGGCTGAGCTTTCTTCCTATTTCTTCTTTCTTAGGCCTGATTCACAGGCTGCCTGCAGAGACGCAGGAGCTGCTTCTCAGAAGTTTCTTACACATCAGATAACATCTACATCAGGGACGAGGGACATGACACTTGTGGGATGTATTTTGTTTTTGACTACAAGCCCAAGACCCCCAACTGCATCCAGATGCAAAAGACCCAGACTTAAAGAATTCTGAGACCAGAAATTTGTTCTAAATACCAAAACGGAACAATCTCACCATACCAAACTGTTCTCTTGGTTACCCCAGATTTTTCTTTGCTTGAAATGTATAATGTAAGAGAGTGAATTTGGGTGGTGGCTTACATTTTATTGTTCAACAATTGGGAGTCAGAAATCTTGCCAATCTGCCATATATCACCCTGAGGTCAATCTTCCGTAAGTAACCAGGGATCTGTTTTTCATCACACTGATCTAGATGTGTAGGTTGAACGATACTGTTTCTTCCTTTGTGAACACCTCCTGAATAAACAACAGCTTAAGATGACCAGGAAACATTCATAATTTTTAATTCACACCTGTAATAAAATTGCATTACATTTCTCATAAAATAAATGTTCCAATTTATATACAGAAAAACAGACTGTACAGAGCCCTCCCCTGGATCCCCAAAAAAACTCACGAACATACAGGCAATGCAGTGCTCAGCTAAGCAGGCACAACTGTACATCTAAAATTGTAACTGCTTTGTGTTGTGGGGCGGGAATACTACAATGAATGTAGTCCTCTGTGGACCAAGAATTAAAAAAATATTGCAGGCAAGCTGACAGACGCCCTTCGCTGCTTGTGCGGCTGAACGTCCATCCCACAGTGTTCCAGCAAAGCAGGGTTTGTTATTGAACTTGGGGCTCAAAGCTTCCGTTCAGCTGCCCCTCCTCATAGTCCATCTGACACAAGATCATGTTGTTCTTCAGGAAAAACTTGTCCCCCACGCAAAATCTAAAAGGCAAAAATAAATAAATTAAATCATTTGCATAAGAACTTCAGGGTTTTTCGGTTGCTTTGACTGGATTGTGAATAGCTGAATAATACATCATTTCTACTTAGTATGTTTATTTCCCATTAAGTTTAAGAAAAAAAAAGGCATTTGTGTGATGTGCCTTTTGCTCATCTAAACTTGTTTTGCCCAAGGACAGATTCAAAATACCTTTTCGGAGCTGCATCAAGTCAATTACTTTTCTCAATTGATCATTCAGAAATCTATGCAGTACCATAACCAGGAATGGCCATAGCTTTAGGGCCCAATGAGGTGGTCTGGATCGAGTGGCAAATTTGAAATGGAAGGAAATTGCCTGCTCTTTAGTTCAGAGTTATATTTTTTACCACTACAGAATGAGGTGGGTGTCTAGGAAGAGCAGATATACTTCTTCAGTCACAAACCTGATAATCAGAAAGGTCAAATTCAGCCCGGGACTCTCAGGCCTCAATGATCAGGTTTCTTCCACTAGTTCTATTCATTTATTTATTTGAAATCATACATCTGAATCACCTACCTACTCCATGAGTGCTCAAGATGATTTACAATACAGCCACAAGCACAGTAAAATGCAACAATTTTTTTAAAAAGCTGAAATGAAACGATTAATGCACATGCCAATAAAACAAGGGAATGGTCTAAAATCAGAAAGTAGCCTTAATTGGTAACAGCCTGGAGGAAGAAGAGTTGCGCAGCTTCCCACTGCAAAAAGCAACTTACAGAAATAAATGCACAACTGAAAATAAACAAGGGTGAAATCCTATGGCCACTGACTTCTTCTGGGAGGCCAGAGGGTTCTTTGGAGTCCTGACTTAGAGACCTCGCAGTCTCAGAGCTGAGACTCCTCCTGTCTCTTGTGGAGCCAGTACATGAAAAGAACTGGGCCTCAGAGGGACCAAAAAGGGGGCACACCAGGTGGCAGTTTGGGGAGCAGATTGGGGCTAGGGATTTACACTGATGCCTCTCCAGGTGAAAATGGCTCTCTAAATAAAATAGTGTGGTAAGGCTCAGTGACAGCTGCCATCACTGTGCCTTGTTCCATGCATAGATGAAGGCAGGCTGCTGATGGACTGTGCCCTAAATCAGTTAAAACCACAATAGTACAAATAAAAATAAACACCGTTGGTTAAAAATGCAATGTGCAAAGTATCCATGGTACAGAAATTCTCTTCCCTGCTCATTTTACTCAGCCCAGGATGAATGCCACCTGTTGAAGTATCACACAACAATTGTGCCATGGGAAAATAAGCATGTCTTTTCCCAGCAGAAAAGTGACTATATATACCGCATGACTTAATTCTCTTAATGTGATCATAAACTGGTCCGTTCTGATGCATCCCAGTAATCTGCTAAACTCTGGGCTGAGATCTGTAGGTAGGGACTGGCTCTGCTTGGCAGGTGTCCTGCAGGTAGCAGGCCATGGACAGCTCACCGAGGACTGCCAAGGTAGACTCTGGCTGGATGCAGGGCACCCAAGCACAACACGCCAGGACACTGGTCCAGCCATGGTGTAGAACAACAGCTGAGGGCCCGTGTACTCCTGCAGTCAGATCTGATGTACCCAACTCTGTTTTCTCTGAGGAAACTTCTGGTGCTTCAAGGCACTAAGGCCCCATTCTTCAGGCGCTGGCTCTGGCAAGGAAGCCTCATCTCCTTCCTCCCCATGGAGGCCAGACAGGGATATCTAGTCCTGGAACATTTTCTAAAGAGGAGTCTTCACAGTCAGGTAGGGCAGAAGTTTCCCCGGGAATCCTCTGTGAAGCTCATTCTTGTCCCCACCCTTGCCATCCTCTCTATTTTCAGGCCCCTGTTTGGATAGTCAGCCATCCAGACTCATGGGCCATGGCGAGACCTCACAATAGGTAAAAACAAATTGTTGTGAGTCCACCTTAAGTCTACAAGCCCCTGCTGGTGCTGAAATAAAATGAATCTCCATGATATTGTTCAACTGACAAAGCCATGCAATTGTCAGGACCAATAGTTTACGGGGGTAGGCAGAAAGTGTCTTCAGATGGTTTGGACCACAACTTCCTGAGGCCCTTGCCCATATGGCTAGTGGTCCAGAAAGCCAAAATCTGAAGTCCCAAACACCCGGAGGTCTACTTTCTGTCCACATCTGCTTTAAAAGTCCTGTGGTCCTACCTTAGGTGTGGAAAGAGATCTTACACAAAACCATCTTCCCTCATGGCCTCTTTCCCTTCTAAAACATTAATGTATGTAAATTCTTACGTATAGAGACAGTTTCGTATTTTATATTCATTGAATACTGCACAAACATAATAAGCACCTTGTCTCGGTTGCTTTCTTTACTTCCTCCCATTTCCAAGCGTTCATTTTGGTGAATGACTGCTTAGAATTGTAGCCTTTTATGCCCGGCTCCCCTAGGTAAAGATACTAGGGTGGGGACAAGGTTCATGCCTGCTGCCCCATCAGCAGATATGTTGCTTGTCCCCTCCTCTCACCTGGGACACCTCATCTCCCATATCTGCATGCCTGCTATTACAACTGAAAGTGGGGGAGGGGGAATATGCATGCACCCCATGTGACCGGGAACCCCGATTTCTCAGGCTCACCGTTTTTTTCCAATGCCACAACATTCACATGAATGTCCAGGACCATTCTGATGGAGCATACAGCGTCACCTGAATACCCTTTGCAACATCTATCTTTGAACTACAAGTCCCAAGCTTAACATGACATTACAGTCCAAGTTTACACTTCCCTAAGGGACATCAAAATACGCATGTTCATTTAAAAAAAATATACGTCCTTCTGCCACACATTTTCTTTCAAACTAGGCTTCCACAGAGATAAAATTTCACAGATCTTGCCCACCTCACACTGCCCTTATTTCTGTAGCCCTGAGGTGACTCACAGTATTTACCTCATTTTATAGACTATGAAGCCTATTCCTTGCCTCCTTGCCTGCAATACCGAAGAATACATAGACCTTTTCTTAGGACTCTGTTAGCCTTTGGTGGAAGTATGAGGTTTTCTATATACAATGCAAATTGTTCTGTTCGAATCAAGGCTTGTGCTATTTATCTAATTTTATCAGAATATTTATATTAAAAATGTTCCAAATATCATTATCTGAAGGGCAAGGTTAGAGAAGTCAACAGATACCTCACACTTCCTGTTCTGTATCAAGGACAAAGAAATGTTTTTGCAATGGGGTGTGTGGTGGCAGGGACAGGGGCCCGTAGTTCCCCGACAAAATAACCCTAACTGTGCAAGAACAATACTTCATGTATACTGAATACATGGATGGAATCGAAGGGTCAGCCTTCACACTTTGCTGGAGAAGTAACGCATTTCTTCACAGGGCGCAAGGAACCAGCCACATCCATTGCAGGACAATGTGTTTGTTGGCAGCAACAAACGTGCTCGTACTTTGAGACAGTCTTGTTTTTTGAGTTTTGGAAATTGTGCTTAGTTTCAGTAGCTTGCAGACTTAAGGAAGATCCCCGCATACTCTCAAACAAATGCACCTTATTTCCATCTTGGAAAGCTTGTTGAGGGCTAGAATATTCCTGCTGTACAAGAGAAAGTAAGAACTATGTGGTTTCTAACAGGGTTCATAAAATGTCATGGACTGTGTATCTTAGCCCAAATTCCTATACGAGTGTACTTGATAGGAAGCTGCTTCTCAGTTGCCCAATTAAAGAAGAACCAGTGGAAGTGGAGGAATGGTTATTTCTTATGTGAACATTCATCTCCAGAAAGAGTAATGCTGACCCATAGAGGTTCTTACAACAGAAGAGATGCAAATAGTAGAGCCCACCTAAGAAGCTGCACTGAAGTCAGTGTTTTTTAAAAACTTTTCCATACATTATCTGGAATTAGTGTAGAACAGTTAGGTATGCTGATGATACCAAATTATTTAGGGTGGTTTAAACAAAATGGGCCATTGCAAAGCTCCAAAAGGATCTCTTTGAATCGGATGTATGAGCATTAAAATGCCAAATGTAATCCCGTGCAAAGTGTTACATAATGGGGCAAAATTTCTCAATTCTCATATAGATTGAGGGGGTCTGAGATGCTGGCAGCAGATTAGGAATTAAATCTTGGTTAGCAGCGGAAAGCTTGATGAAGATATCAACTCAGGGTGCAGCTGCTGTGAAAAAGGCAAATTTTCTTATGGGGGTCATTAGAAAAACAATCCAAAATAAAACCTCCTTGATACAGTTGGAACATTGTGCACAGTTCTGATCACTTCTTCTTGTTGCTGTTAATATCAAGTTGCCTCCTACTTATGGCAACCCTATGAATGAAAACCCTCCAGAATGTTCTACTCATGACATCCCTGTTCTAAATTCAAGGCTTTGGCTTCCTTTGTGGAGCCAATCCATCTCTTCTTTGGTCTTCCTTTCCTTCTTCAGCCTTTGATTTCCCTAGCATGATTCTGATCACTACACCTCAAAAAGGATATTGTAGAGTTGGAAAGGATGCAATAACATGTGACCAAAATGGTCAAGGAAGTGGAACAACATCCCTAAGAGGAGAAGTTACAACTTTGGAGCAATGTAGTTTAGGAAAACGGTGACTAAAGGCTGAGGGGAGGTGATGTCTGAAATGAAGCATGGTGTGGAGAAAGTAGGTTGGGATGCTGGAACTTGGGCCTATTCAGTCCAGCAAAACTGAATGATGGGAGTCTGAGGAAAGACATAAGAAAGTCCTCCATATACATAATTATACCATGAACTATGCTACTACAAAACTTCGGGATGGCCACCAACTTTGATAGCCTTAAAAGGAGATTAGACAAATCCATGGTCCTCCCTGAATTGGTCCACCTAATTCATAAGTCTTTCAGAGGCTACCAACAGCTACTTGTCCAGATTGTTCACTACATGCTACCTCTTGTATCAAAGGCAGTATGCCTCTGAACGCCACTGTCTGCCTGGGAAAAACCTGGCTTCAGTAGCCTGTCCTGTGGTGACCTCCAAGTCACGTTCCTGCA